AGAGAGAGAGAGAGAGAGAGAGAGAGAGAGAGAGAGAGGAGGAGGAGGAGAAGGAGAAGGGGAAGGGGAAGGGGGAGGGCAAGGGGAAGAAGAAGAAAGAAGAAAGAAGAAGAAAGAAGGAGGAGGAGGAGGAGGAGGAGGAGGAGGAGGCGGAGGAGGAGAAGAAGAAGAAGAAGAAGAAGAAGAGAGGGAGAGAGAGCCAATGAAGGAATTTAGAAATGCTCAGTTCTCTTAATCTTCAATTCCCAGGGCAAGTATGGCCTTTCGTAGGGTCCAGCTGCCCCCACAACTGTGTCTTAAGTCCCATGCCCCCTGCCCCCAGGGCAATAGCAGAAGCCACAGCCACCCCAGTGTCATCCCAATTCCCCCGCAGCCCCCGTACCCGCCTTCCCCCAGGCCCCCAAGCTGCAGTAGGCGAGAGGAAAGTCTGGCTAGTGGATCTGGGTGAGGAGACCACAGGGCAGATCCCGGAGAGGAGAAGAGGTGTTAGTGAGAGAGAGAGGTGGCAGCTGTGGGTGAGAAGCCAGCTCTGTGGTCACCTCGGCTGTGCTGCCTGTTGACCATCCCGCCCAGGGTCCACCGGCGATCCAGGCGCCGCAGATGGGCCTTGCGTCTCTTGGACACTGGTGTGGGAGATGACGATGGAACACGCGGCCAACAGGAACCGGCAGAGAGAATGGAGATGGGGATGAGATGGGATGGGGCGGGAAAGGGATACAGGGAGGGCAAGTCCACATCCCCAGGTTGTCATCACCTGGACCAAGTCCCAGCGGCACACACCTGCCGGATGAGGGCAAATACAGCTGACAAGTGACATCATTGGCAGGAGGGGAAAAGTTCACCCAAAGTCGAGGATTATGTCCCTGAGCCTGGGAAGGGCTGAGAATTTAGAATCCTGGCACCTGGGAGGTGAGCTCCGGCCAGCACAAAGATGCCCCTCCACTGCAGCCCCCGGGACAGACCACAGCTCCTGCCACTGCAGGGCAGTGCAGGTTCCTGGTGGGGGGAAGGGCGCACCACACTGGGGCTTACAGCCCCGCCACCCGCTCAGTCACCAAATCCTGCTTGCGAACCTGCCACCATGAACCAGGTACCATGTGCAGAAGAGTACATGTGCCCAAGAGACTTGGGGTGCCTTCCTCACTACTCTGCATTTGTGCCTTTGCTTTCTCAGTCATCCCCACTAGACTGAGTCTGTTGAGAGCAAAGACTGTGTCTCTGCATCCCCAGAGCCCAGCACAAGGCCGGGGATACAGCTGATCCCTAAGAAATGGTGCTGAGTGAAATGTCCACATGGGTAGAAGTCACAGGCCTTGGTTTTGCTCCTTTCCTACAGGTCATTTATATGAATTTCTGATGACAGAGGACCTGCCTCCCCAGCTTCTCACTGCTCCAGACCACCCTCTTTGGAGTGGCATCCTGCACTAGTCCTCTGTTTGCTGTGGTACAGCTCCAGATGCCCCCTGCCTTCCTATGGGACACCGACGTGGAACAGATACCAGACCAGGGCTCCAGGGTGCCAACTGGCCCCCACCTCCTGGCACTGCAGGAGGAGGGTGCTAGGCTGCCCAGGTCTGGGGGAGGGAGGCCAGCAATGAGAGCCATAGTAAAACTGTCTGGACACACACCCGAGCCAAATGCCACCAAGGCCTCCTGGGAAGTATTTGCTTCCCTGGAAGGAGGACACTGGCCTATTAGGCCTGCTTCTTATAAGTAGGAGGTCTGGACAAAAGGTTAGGAGATACGGATTAAGTCCAGGCCCCACTGCCAGGTTCCTATGTCACTGTGGGTGGGCTGCTGTCCCTCTCTAAGCCTCTGTTTCCTCTTTTGTCAATGGGGTTGAGACTCTCTGCCCTGGCACGGAACAAGGCAGGGGACTGAATGGACTCCGTGGAACCTACGTCAGGTCCTGTGTGAGGCCAGCCAGGGAGGAACCCTGACAGCTGATGCCTGGGCAGGCGGGTGTGTGATTTCTCAGAGGGTAAAAGAGCTTCAGCTGATGACCGGGCCAGGGGTCGCCTTAGCAGTAAGTGCCGTTCACCCAGTTTAAAGCATTTACAAGGACTCTCTCACTGGAGCCTCACATAAGCTCTGTGCAGTTGGCACTGTCACTTTAGAAACGAGACAGCAGAGGCAGAGGGCTGTTAAGGGGCCCTCTAACCACACATCTAAGTGTCGGGGCAGCACGCAGATCCAGGCAGTCTGGCTCTGAAACCCTGTCTCTGGGCCCCCACAATGTTGTTCTTCCCCCTCAACCCTGCACCCCTTGACCTGCCAACAATGGGGGAGGCTGGACAGAGGGGCAGGGCCTGGTGCTGGGGCACCTGTTCACTGGAGGAACGCCTGGCCTTGGTGCAACAGCACAGGTGACTATGGGCTGGCTCACTGGTGCCAACACGAGCCCACCAGGGAGGAGGGCAGGTTATCGCCAGTGGTTGGAGGGCACAGGGACACAGGCAGGAGCCCAGGCTTTGGTCTTGGCTCTGCCACAAACTGACCTGGGGGCTCTGTGTAGGAGATACGTCTCCGGGCCTGCATTTCCTCACCTCTGAGAGGTGACAGATGTGACAGTTCACTAAAGCACCTTGCAAATGTCGGGCTTGGACCTGCATCATTGTCAGTGGGTGAGAGGGCCTCCACCCCCACTCTAGCCCTCCTACCCACTACTGCTAACATTTTTGAATTCTATATAGTACACTTGGCTTCAGGAAAAACACACAAACATGCGTATGACAGCATGTCTGATAATAGAAATAAACCAAAACAGCCTACGGTATCTTTCCAGAGCAACAAAGCATGAGCTGTTAGGGAAGCTCTGATGGAATGAAAGCTTCCAAATTCTGTCTATAGGGCTCAGGGCACCTATTATGGGATGGCAGCAGGGCTGGGGTAGAAATGGCTGGAGAGGGGATTAGGGTGGGCTAATCGCTTAGCCACATGGCTGCAAGTGCAGAGACTGGCAGATATACCACAGCTGCTGGGCTCTTGGGCCCGGGGTACTGAGCCCTGAACCCTTCTATAGAGTTGGGTAGAGATGCCCTAGACGTGATGGTGGCATTCACAGCTGCCCAAATGTTGCCAGGGGTACTGCTGGCACACAGGCCCTACCAAAAGCATGCAGAAGAACCTGTTTTAAGGAAGGTCGCCCTAGATGCTCAAATGCGTGCGTGCACAAACCCCCTCTGAATGCAGAGCCTGCAACTGGCTGCCTGATTCTTCATCAAGGTCAAAATCATCTACAACCTGCTACTGCTTGTTCTGTGCCAAGCACCAGGCTGGCATCTGTGCCCACACACCTCGCAGGCTCTTTTCTGCCCTGGACTTTTCTGTCCACTTAGTGTCCTGTTCCTCCATCATCTACTCAACACCTCTGCTCTGACATTCTTGGCATAGCCTTTTCAGGTGGGGGCACTGATTCCACATACACACCCTCCTCGAGTTGCTTACAAGCAAAATCCTCCGTGGAGAGGCATGCAGACCAGTGGTAAAGAACACGGGGCAAAGAAGGCTAACCAGGGCTCGAGCCTTGCGAAGACAAGCACACAGCTCAATGTCTGGAAGCCTCAGTTCCTGCATCAGGAAAATGGAGATCCCAACAGCGCCCTTCCAGTAATAGTGAGGGCATATAAAGCACCAGCCGGACCCCTGGAGTGAGCAAGATCACATTACACTCTAGGGATTGTTATTTCTGAGAGGCCCTTGGACAAGCCCAGAATGGGGAACTGGGTAGGAGCTGAGGCCTGGTGGCTGCAGACAGACTAGACCAGGCCCAGCCTGGGAGCCAAGACCCTTCACTGCTGCAGAAGTGCAATGGAACCAGAGGTGAGATGGGGTGCAGGCTCAACCCCAGGGCTTGGGAAATAGCCAGGAAGGACTGAGCACCTGGCCTGAACATGCAAGCTCTTCCTGATGGGATCTAGTCCCTGGAAACATGTCACAAGGTGGATGCACATTGCAGGGACTGCAACTCTGGTAAAGGGGCGGCAATAAAGCGTTTACTGGAGGAAGGGTGGGGCTCCAACTGCCTGCTGAGTAACCGACATTTAGGGGAAGGATGAATAAGGAGCTGGCGCTTGGCGGGCTGCTTATTTTGGCCTGGGCAGTGGGGAGTTGGGGGCAGGGGTGTAGGCCTGGAGGTGGCCTGAGCCCTGGGTGGCAGGTCTCCATCCCCCTTGCTCTCAGACATGCCCATTTGGACAGTCCCCACTGTCCGTTACGGCAGGCATTCCTGCTGCCAAGACACAGGAGGTTTGGAAGTCATTAAGAGCCGGAGGCCGGGAACTAGGGGTGCCTCGTACTCACTGGACGCTGGCAGCCTGCTCTGGGGAATACCTGAGTCCACAGACAGGCTGTCCTGGCTAATGCTGGCCTGGCGGGGACGGGTAGGTAGGGGGTAGCTCTTTGAAATGCAACTAGAAAGACCCAGAAAAACCTCACTGGGCCAGTGTTCATCAGAGAGGCTGAGGGTGCAGGGGCCGGTGCCACCCTCAGTGCCTGCAATACTGAGAAATGACTCACAGATCTTCCCTCGTGTCTATACCCTCGGCCAGGCTAACAGATACCGGCGTAAAGGCCTCTGAGCAGAACAGCAGATGCGCAGAAGTTGTGTGCACACAACCCCTTGGGGTTGTGCCTGTACAGGAAGCACAGTGTGGGCCGGGGGGGAGGCAAAGGTGGGGTCTCTGTGTGGTCCCCCAGAGGACCCCAGGGGGAAGAGGGGACTTCAAGGGGTCTAGCCCCAAGACTGTTCTCCCTCGTATCTACCCCAAAGTTACCAAAGCCTGAGATCAACACCCCAAGGGAATTTCCCATCTAATTTTAGCCTTATATGGGGGCCAGCAGGGACAGGCCTGGGACGGAAGGCGAACTTGTGGGTCAGATCAAGAGAGAAGAGGCTAGAACATGGCCCAACCCTCTTCAGGGGTTCTGATGGTTTTAAGAAGAGTGGGAAAGCTGCCTCCAGGAGGAGTTGCACTCATTCCTGGGGCCAGGGATGGGGTGGGAATTAACCCCTAGGGATCCCAGGGCGGGCCAGCTCCCCGTACCTGCCTCATTACCCTGATTTCCCAAACCTGCAGGCCCTTACCTTCCCCAGTCTTCGAGGTGTTGATATCTGAGTCATCCCGAGTACCATTCTGGGCCTCCAGGTAGGTGGCAGGGACCCAGCCCTGCTCCTCAGAGGTGCTCACGAACCACCAGCCTGCAGAGAGGACAAGAGAGAATAGGGCCATGAGAACCCAGCGCGATGGCAGAGGCAGTGGGAAGGGCACACAGCCAGACAGCCTGGGCGTCGGGCGAATTCCTGGCCCATGTCCAGCCTCGAGGAGCCTGCGCCTGGCTAAGGAGAAGAGACCAACACGCTCCCTCAGAAGAGGGCCCCATGGACCGCAATGCATAATTCCACAAATGTGGAATGAAAAAATGAAAAAAATGAAACTGAAATAGTATGTCCAATGTGTTTAAGTCACCTTTCAGGAAAGGCCAAGGGAGCACACAGGCCCTTTCTTTCAGTGGGCCACCAGACCACTGGTGTGGCCTGGGATTTGGCCACTTTCTCTGCTTCAAAGGCATCCAGGGATAAATGCATCCAGGGATGCCTTTCTAAGGGTCACTGTTCCCCTTTCCCCATCACGGGTCAGTGGTATTTCCACATTGGTGCTACTCACAGCTGCTCTTAAGTGTGCTGACATTTCAATCACAGTAAGTGGGCACTGTACCCTCGAATGACCCTTGACGGTCAGTCATGGCCAAATAATAAAGGCACATTCATTTTCTTTCTTCTTTTGTTGGTTCATTCATTCACCACTCAAACACACGTGGATTGAGCAACACCCTCCAAGCACCAAGGTCCTGGGACTCTGCTAACTGCCTTCAGTCCTTTCCTAGAAGGTACCCTTCACAGGAGCCTGTCTTGGCCCCGACCCCACTCGGATCTTTCTCTGTCCTCAGAGTAATTTGGCGCCAGTTCTTTTCTGTCCATGACAGAGCCCGCCAAATCTGCACTGTTTGCTGCCAAGAGACCCAGGGCTTCTCCTTGGCAGCACTGAGGCCCCATCACTGCCCATAGAAGCAAGTGGCTGCCCAAGGAGGGGGCACACTGGGGGCTTCCCAGGCACTCCCAGCTGGGCTTAGCACTGGGAGGTAGAGGAGGAGGAGGCTGCCTGAGGCTGCTGTGATGACAATGAAGAGGGACAGAGGACAGAAGTTCCACCACTGCACAGGACTCAGAACCCAGGGACGTCTCCTAGGTCTTCAGCTAGGTCCCCACCGCCCCTTGTGACAGGCCTCTGTGATCTCGTCTTGAATGCCCACTGCTCCCCGCCCTTTCCGGGGAGTTCCACAACTCTCTGCTCGTAGCTCTGCAAAGCCCATGAAGCCCTATAACATCTGTACGAAGCCATAGCAATGGATACACATCATACGTTTGTCCATACCAAAGAATACACAGCACCAAATGAACCCTAATGTAAACCCTAATCTGGGTGATTAGGATGTATCAATATGTGTTCATCAATCGTCACAATGTATCACTCTAATGGGGATATTGATAACGGGAGGACTATGCATGTGTGAGGACATGTACCTCTGTACCTACTGCTCAATTTTGTTGTGAACCTAAAACTGCTCTAAAACACACACCAAGTCTTAAAAAAGAAAAGAAAAGCCCTGGGTGAGGAGTCCAGACTCCTGAGGCCCAGGCCTGTTTGGCTCAGGGGCCTCAGCTGGGTTACTGCCCCGCTGGAACCGGGGGCAGATGCCTTCCCCTTCCCTCCTCCTGCCAGGTTCAGGTCAATTCCCTCGTCTTTTCCCCGAATGTGATCGGTGGGGGTTGCCTCCATCATACCCACAGCTGTTCACACATTCTGGGCCTGCCACGCATGGGGCTACTGAGTGGGCTGCCTAGAGCAGCCCTCCCTGAAGCCCAGGCCACGATGGTGTGGCTGCAGCTCACACAGGCTCCAAAGAAGCCAGAAGGCATGGATTTTGCAGGGGGCTCTGCCTGGGATGTCTTCTCCCCTTCTTTCAGCCTCTGGGGGAGCACTTTCAGGAACCCCAAGAGCACCAGCCCCAGGTGTTCTCCCACAGAGCCTGAGAGGAGGTCTCAGAACAGGGCCACCCATCTCATAGGGCTTTCTGCCGTGTGGCTCTGCCTCCTTAGCCACCGGAGTGGGCACATACGGCCAATCATCTTCTGATTGGTTTGTCTTCTCCCTGGATGCTGCAATGGTTCAGCATTCTTTAGGAACCGGTATGGGTACTTGGTGATCTGAACCCTAAGTTCCATATAAACCAGGCATCACAGGGACATGTGGGAAGAGATGGCCTGAGAGTGAAGTCAAAACAGAAGCAGCCAGATCAAGAGGTGGGGAAAGTCAGCTCTGGTTAAGATCACTGGGGTCCTACAACTAGACCACCCTGTTGGACTTCTAATCACAATGAGCCAAAGACCTTCCTGTGGCGTTTAACTTGGCCAGAGTGGGTTTCAATCACAGGCACAGAGGGAGTCCTCACCAATGCCATCTCTACTCAGCAATCACCGAGGTCCATGACTGCAAGTCCACTATCATGAGTCAAGTCTGGAGAAGAAAACTCAGGCTCTTAGGCAACTGCTACCATTGGTCTAAACGGATAAGGACGGAGCCCTCAGAGTCACTCTGGGTAAACAGCCCCCGCCCAAATTCCCACTCACCAGGGCCACCTTGGGGACTGGCCCCTGCATTGACCTTTCTCCCTGGGACCAACCAAGGAGCCTCATAATCCCAGGATTCAGGTGTCCTCCCTGCTGGTGGTGTTGTCTCCCCGCCCCCTTACTTCACCCTTTGGAAACCCTCCCATACATTCTATTCTCTTCCTTCTCCTAGAAGCCAGGGATCCGGGATGGAGGCATAGATCTGCACTTGCTGGCACAGGGAAACTCCCGGGGGCAGGGCAGAGACTTGCCGAGGGGCCAAATGTGTGGCTGAGGTGCCCAGTAGGTAGGATGGCATGATGCTGTGCACCTCAGACTACCTCGTGCCCATGGATGTGCCAGGGCTCTGAATCCTTTCCGCCTCAAAAATCTCTGCTGCACCAGAAGCTTCCGGGAAGCCTGGGCCACAAGATCAGTTGACTGAGCATTTCCTCACCCCAGGGCAACAACTTAGGGTCCCATTCTCCTGCTGTATCCTCAAGACTTGGGGTTGAGACCCTCACCATCCTCAAGGCCTGGTGGTCCCTGCCAAGCTTGCCCGAGAACACTGGCCTGGGCTTCCACTCCAGCCCTAAAATGTGCAGACCTGGGCTGTGTGGCTTCAAGTCTCAGTTCACTCCTGCATCAGGCCCTGCAGAGAACTTGCGGCTGGTGTGGCAATGGGCACCTCTACTGAGGTAAGATGGATAGGCTCAAATACCACCCAGGTAGGCATGAGTGAACATGGGCAGAGGCGCCCACCCCAGCTCCATGCAGACCTCCCAGGAGCCCGGGCACAAGTCACCGGGGGAGGTTCTCTGGGCCTGTGTCCACCCATGACTGCTGACAGGCCTCTCCCAGGTGCCAGCAGCTCAGATGTCAATTGCTGCAACCGGGGCTCCTGACCAAAGTCCCTGCTGCCCAGTAAGGAGCAATTAGAGCCTGAACCCCTGGGCGTGGCCCAGCTGGCCACGAGAACTCAGGTGTCAGCCAGCCCTATGGGGCTCCCCGGCTCACCTCCAATACGCACGGCATCCTCTTTCCTGCAGGGGCTGAGAGTGTGTGAGGTATGTGCAGAGGGAGGCGTAGACAAGGCTATGCATTTTCAAGGACACGGGAGATGGGTTCTGTCCATGTACACTCTATGTGCACCAGGAACAAAGAGTTTCTGTGCATTTATTATACATGATGAGTATGGCCAGGCCCTAATTTTACATGTCACTTTATTTAATCTTCAAGAATCTTGTGAACTAAGTGTTACTGTCATCATTACCCCCACTTTATAGATGAGGAAACTGAGGCAGAGATAGGTCACAATTAGCAAGAGGCAGAGCTGGACTTCAAAACCAGGCAGTCTGGCTCCAGGACCCATATTCTTAGCCACCACAGCAATGAATAAGGTATATATCTGCTGTGTGCACAAGGGTGGCTCCTTGGGAACGTGTGTCCCTGGATATTGGTACTTTACACATGTACCTGTGTGTGAATGGGTTATGTCCATGTCCCTGGGCATGCGCTTTGTGTGTATATCATGCATAGAGATGTAGGGCTGTGTGTACCTGAGTGTCTGTGTGTACGGGTGAGGGTCCTCTGGGCTAGAGGGTAATAGTTAGGGGTCTGCGGTCAGAACAACTCAAAGTCAGGTCCTACCTTGCTATTTCCCAGCTGTGTGATCAAGGATAAATTACTAAACCTCTCTGTGCCTCAGTCTCCCCTCTCTGATATGAGAGTAATTAATGAAGCCTACCTCCCAAGCTTGTTGAAGATAACAAATGATATGTAAGTAGCTTTGCTTGGAGCCTAGCACAGAGGAGGAGCTCAAAAATCTTGTGCTACTATCAGCATGGTGGTGGTTGTTTGGCATTCTCCTAGGCTAAAGGAGTCAGCACCCATGGGTGGCTAGGCGGTGTCCGGGCTTGAGGACTGTATCGGAGTACTCAGTATGGATGGCTTGGTGAACTAACCTGGATGGATGTGTGCGTGTGCCCATGCATTTACTCTAACCTATGGAGTGTGGGGACTGCCTTCAGCAGCTCCAGAAGAATGGAGGGTACCACCTTGTGCAACACGGCTGTGCTTTCCTCAGCTGATGCAATACGTGGTGGGAAATGGGGCCAAGGGGGAGATGTCCCTGGGGTTTTTCCTCCTTGCCCAACACATCTCAGCCTGGCTCCTGCTCTTCCGCTCGCACAGTTCCCTAGGACAAAGGTCCTGCAGCCTTCTCGCTCCTGTCCTAAACTCCTCCAGGAAGGCCTCCTGGACCGATCTTCTCCAAATCCCCACCGTGTCCAGAGCATCAACCCCATGACTCAGCTGCTCATACACTCTGAGCATTAGTCTTGTTGAAACTATATAAGTATACCTTGTCTATTTTGTCTCTAGGGCAGAACTGAGCTTGTAGAAAGCAACCTGAAAGATGAGGAAACTGAGGCACAGAGTCTAAGTGCTGAAGCCAAAGACCTGAGTCTGAATCCTATCTCTGCTACTTCTATGCTCTGCGGCCTCAGGAACATGACTTAACCTTTCTGAAT